ATGGATATAATGTGATCAAATCAATGAAAATTTGGCCACGGTCAAATTCGTAGTCATTTCAGCCACTAAAATAGTCACAGATGACCATTAGTTTTGCAATTTCAACCCATGGCTAAATATATTGTGTAAATAATACTCCATTAACAGTGATTATAAATTCAAGATAATTTGTGATTAACTAGAAAGTCTAAAAATATACTAATTTATTAGTGAAATAACAATTAGTATATATTCGCCAACAAAAAAAATTAGTATTTATTGACACCATGCTAACTAAATAATAAAAAAATCACATTATACTTGTCGTTATTTAGTTTTCTACTTCTCTTTTACAAGTACCATATGATTTGCTACACAAAACAAAATACAAAAGATTTAGAAGAGACAAGCCCGCAACGAGCCAATAGTAATAGTCCAAGTGCCCTTCGTCTATATCCTCTGTGATCCAGTTGCGGCAGGTGGTGACGTCGACGACGGTAACGATCCAAGAGGAGACAAGGCTTGCCGCGGCCATGTTAAGCCCGGAGAGTGTGGTGGCGACGCTTGACATGGATTTGGGAAGCTCAGAGTAGAAGAACTCGTTTTGTGCTATCGAATTAAGTGCTTCCGAAATGCCTCCTAATATCATGTACGGTAATAGCCACATTGCCGACAAATTCGTACCTCTCTCCTCTCTCTAGTGAATCAACCATCAAAAAACAATCGAATTATTAAAATGATAATTAATGTCATACTACATTGGAAACCGTTTTATTGTGTATTGTAATTTAGATTGTTTGTTACTTCTAAAGAATATCAATTTTTAATGTTGATATAAAATTTGTACTATTCTCCAAAAAAATTAGTTGAAAACGTAACAACAACCTTCCCGAATTAGACTAGTTTTTTTTTTGCGTTGATATTATTCAAAACACGAAAATGTAAAAACTTATAACAAAAAAAAAAAAATTTGAACAAAAATCCGGATTTGAACACTTACGGCTCTTTTTCTTCTGACGTACTCCACGGTCGCGAGAGTGGAGATGCATAGAACCGATATTGCAATCCCCACTCCCATTCTCACCATAACTCCTAATCGAAAGGGCTTTCTTAGAGTCCAAGAAACTAAAGGGACGATAACAAGATCATAAAGAACAAGGAAGAGCGCGAAGGAGATAACCATGAAAAGGCCGTAAGATCCCGGAGGAATCTCGAAACCCTTAATGAAAGTGCGACGATCCATGGCTTTGGCTTGAAGGACTATGAAGGAGACTTGACAAGCTGTAACAAGTGAAGAGATGATTCCCGTTGACCAGATGGGTAGGACATTGATGAGAGATTTGAGATCTTCTACTTGTTGCACTCTACATAGCTTCCATGGATTCCGCGAGTGACCTGTTAGGGTTAGGTCTTGCTTCGGGTTACTTGTAGCGCAAGCTTTATTGAGATACCTATAGTTTATAAAATTAATTCAAAATGTATCAGGTTTCGTTACACAATGTATGTATGGGAAAAAAGCAAGAAGATAATTGAAATTCTATAGCAATATTACCACCTTTTCATCAAATTTAGCAAAAAAATTGTATTCTATTTTCAAATATCTTTTAATCTACAAATTGTTTTAAAAAATCCTAAAAACAATCGGACTAATCCAACAATATTTACAAACAATGTATATGAACAATTATGATAATAGTTTTTCTTCTTTTATTTGCTAAACTAGCTAATTTCAAAATTGCCAAAAAATGATGCATTGATCCAAAGTATAGTGCAATTCGCCACCACACTATACACAAACGAACATGCCTTTGGTTAATTTTTTTTATTTGGGATAAAATATCATTTGGTCAATTCAGATATGGTTCATTGAAAATATCAATATTTTCAACACGTATAAAGAGTAAATATACCTCAATCTCTGGCTAGGAATGGAAAATGAAGATCCCATTTCGTGATGGTACGATATAAGATGCTCCTCGTCCAATGACAAATCAACATGTCGGTTTCTAAAAGCAGCAACAAGAACCTGGAAAAGTCCAGCGACAAGGCCAGACTCACACTTAAACCTAACATAAAACGGAGAAGCCGCGAAGAACAAAGCGACCGATAGACCCATGGCTGCAACAGAGACTCCAAAACCAATCTGCCAACCATACGTTGTCTGAACGAAGACGAGTAACGACTGAGAAAGAAAGCAAGCAAGCATGATCGATATGTAGTACCAGTTGAAGAGGGTTTCTAGGGCTGACGTGGCAATACATGATGATGATGTGTGGTTAGGTTGGAGCTGGTCGGCGGCGAAGGCTAGGCAGGAGGACCTAACGCCACCGGCACCGATGGAGGTGAGGGCAAAAGAGGAATATAGGAGAAAAAGTTGGAGCGGCGTGGTGGGTTGGCACACGTGTGTTGATTTGTCACATTGTGGTTGGATTATTGTTGTTAACCATGATAAAAGCATACCCTATTTTAGACATAAGAAAATGAATAAAATTAGTTAATCAATTAAAAGTTATTTACATGTAAGTTAATATTCCAAAATCCATCATGGAAAAATTATGCAATGATTATTAATTAGTACCTTATTATTTAAGTGATAAGTATTTACATCATTAGAGCATCATCATCCTTGATACAAGAAGAAGAGTATCAGTTGAATAAACAAATATTAAAAACACACTCTCTCTTCTTTTTATTTAACTTTATACCTTCTCTTTCATCTTTTTACTCAACTTTTATTAATTTTATACTCTCTTTAAATATAAAATTATTAAAAACATTTGATACACTCTTTATTTCTCTCTTCAAAAATATCAAAAGTATCAATTATTTGATACCCTCTCTCCAAAAATATCAACTATCTCTTTTCTTTACTCAAATTTTATTAATTTTATATTTCAATACACCCCACTATTTCAACCAAAAACACTCTCTTTCTTCCTTTAACTCAAATTTTAATAATTTTATATTTAATGATATCCACATTGTATCACCAATACTCATGCTCTTAATGTAGATTGTTTATCAATGAAGGATTAGCTAGAACAAAGTTTTTGATTAAAATATGGTGGTAAAATAAGACGAGATCACAAGATCCATTTTTATAAAATACTCCATCACAAGATCACAGTATTTAAATATACCTGTCATTGAATATATATAGTTGACAAAAAAAAAATTCACTCGTTTGCATGATTACAAAACTAAATTAACTCAACTATATCCTCATTAAACAACATGCATAAATATGAGTGCACGGAGCTAAAAAAATAAACGAGAAGGGAGTTACCTCCTTTGTAAAATTTATTTAGAGAAAAGCAAACGAACTAAATCAATTTATTGAGGATCATATATAATTTCACAAAAAGTATATTACCAGAAGGCTGATGGAGGATCCAAACCCGATAAGAGGAAAACGACCCGTGTAAGAATCAGCCATAAAAGCACCGACAAGAGGGAAGAAGTTGGTGACGGCCGACCAGAGGAAGAGGATGTTGACCGCTTCCGCCGTTCCCATGCCGTATTCCGCCGTCAAGTAGAGTATCATGTTCGGTACCAATCCGAAATATGCAAGTTTCTCCAACGCCTGACTTGCTATACAAAACCATTATCAAAGAATATGAAAATACATCATCTATATTATTCATTCAAATCAAAGCTATCTCTTTCTCTATATATATATAAGATATGTTGAATATACGAGAATTATACCTAGAATGATCGTAATTGTCGAAACACTGCGTTTTATCGGCTGCTGATGCGTAGTTTTTCCGGCTAGAAGAGCTTCTTGATCCATTTTCGGTTTTTTTTGTTTGTTTGTTTGGACTCTTGGTGGTATGTAATCTATGCCTATTTATGTACATATTATTGAGTACCTAGTCGTATACTAACATTTGAAAATGCGTATGTAGGGAGGCTCGCATCAGTATAATACATAATTTGCTTACGTGTCTTTGAGGGGTCCGGTTAGCTAGTATTAATATACATGTTGGGGTCACCTCTTAATTAGAAGATTATTTTAATATACATTTTCATATTATATTTCAAAATATAGTAGATACAAATTTACAAATGATTAGATGCGTTGTAAATCTACTTTATTTCTACACAAAATTATTTAACAATTTACTACCTTAATATAAAATAATATTTCGCAACTTATATTATTCCTAGAGCTAACCGGACCCTCGTGAAAGTTATATTAAAGAATTGGAAGTGTAGTCAAGTTTTGTTTGTTTGCTGTAGGAATCTTACTGAAAAAACAAAATGATACATATGCTTTTTCCATTAAAAATAAAAAAGAATCATAAATTTTTTTCAACAATCAGAATAAGTTCATTTAGTAGTTGAATACGGCGCAATAATATAACTTATGATCAAGAAATTGAAATTATGGTCCAAATGGGTATCACTAGTGAAATTAATGAAAAATGTAACTAGAATATAATTAAGTTGAACAGAATAATAAGTTTTTCCAATTCATCTAACCAATTTTACTGCAAAATAGTAGAGATATATTTTAGCATACATTATGTTGGAATTATTTTTAAAAATGGAATGAGTTGAATTAAAATAGTTTTCCAAAATTTTCAACTCAAATAACAAATTTTTAGAAAAATGTTTAATTCCACCAAACCTTTATCTTCGGGTCGGATTCAACTTAACAGGTCGGATGATTTATTAATGGGCCTAATTAACTACAAAGGCCCATGCCAGTACACCCAGACTTTGCAGCTGATATTTGACACTGAAGATATTTTTGGACTTGAGAAAGTAACTGAGCACGATTCTTATCCATTCCAAAACCCACCGACGAAATCTCCGAGCAGTGTCAATGGAGGACAAATCACCGGCGTTACCGATTTCTGAAGATTTATCCCGGAAAATAATCTCTCTCGCCGCCGGCGAAGCGCATACCATCGCTCTGACCGGTAAATTTTCATTCTCCACACAGCTTCAATTAGTAGACAGAGAGATATTTTTTCTGTGTTTGTTGAGTTTGATTTTTCGTCTTTGGAAAAATTGAAGGCGATGGATGTGTTTACTCTTGGGGAAGAGGAATGTTCGGTCGTCTTGGCACTGGTAAGGAATCGGACGAGCTTGTTCCAGCTCTAGTCGAGTTCGCGTTTCCAGATCGACCAGCCGGAGATCGGCCTCGAATCGTTGGTGTTGCTGCTGGTGCTTATCACAGTCTCGCTGTCTCAGGTGGTTTCTTCTATTCATTTGTCTGATATTCACTTTTTTTTTTTCTATCAAAAGATTTTGTTTGATAAAATTAGCTCCTCTGTCTGCATCCATGAACTTCAAATTGTGGATGAAAAATGTTGTAGCAGCTTAGTTAAGTTTTCGTTCTTTTGCTTATGAGCTTCTACTTTTTGGTTGTGTTGGAGTTTCTTAATATTTGTTAGTCGGAAGGGCTTGTGAGTTTA